ATTTCCTTCTTTTTAAAAACTGAATAATATTTAATTGTATGTATATACTACATTTTCTTTATTTATCTGTCAGCAGATGCTTAAATTGCTTCCACCTCTTGGTTATTGTGATTAAAACTGCTATAAACATGGATTTGCAAATATCTCATTGAGATCCGGATATAGTTTGGATATGTGTGTCCCCCCAAAAACTCATGTCAAAATCTGATCCCCAATGTGGCAGTGTTGAGAGCTGTTCTGGTCATGGGGGAATGGATCTCTCATGAATAGATTAATGCCCTCCCTGGGGGTGGTGGGGGTAGTGAGTTCTCACTTTATTAGTTCCCATGAGAGCTGGTTGTTTAAAGGATCCTGGCACCTCTGCTTGCTCTCTCTATTGCTTTCTCTCACCACATGATCTTGTACCTGCTGGCTGTCCTGCCATTTTCCATCATGAGTAGAAGCAGCCTGAGGCCCAAGCCAGATGCAGCTGTCCCAGAATCGTGAACCAAATAAATCTCTTTTCTTTATAAATTACCAAGTTTCAAGTATTTTGTTATAGCAACACAAAAATAGCCTAATACAGAAAATTGTTACTGAGAAGTGGGGTGTTGTTATACAGATACATGAAAATGTGAAAGCTGCTTTGGAACTGGGTAATGGACAAAGGTTGGAGGAGTTTGGAGGACTCCAAAGGAGACAGAAAGATGAGGGAAAGTTTGGAACTTCTTAGAGATTGGTTAAATGGTTGGGACCAGAAAGTTGATAGAAATGTGGACAGTAAAGGCCATGCCAATGAGGTCTCAGATAGAAATGAGGAACTTATTGGGAATTGGACAAATTGGGAATTGCTACTCCATAGCAAGGAACTTGGCTGCATTGTGTCCATGCCCTAGCACTTCGTGGAAAGTGGGAGTTAAGAGTTGTCAACGAGAATATTTGCTGGAAGAAATTTCTAAGCAGCAAAGCATTCAGACAGCTGCATGACTACTTGTAACAGTCTACTCTCAGTTATGGCGGCAAAGGTATGATGTAAAGCCAGAATTTATCATTAAAAGGAGAGCAGAGTGTAAAGATTTGAGAATTTTGCAGCCTCACCATGTGGTATAGAATGAGAGAGTATTTTCAGGAGAAAAATTCAGAAGTACAGCAGATCCACTGGTTGCTAAAGACATGGTGATGAGGCAGCCAGGTGCTAGTAGCCAAGACAATGAGAGAAAGGCCCCAAAGGCATTTCAGAAGTCTGGGGCCACCCTTCCCATCATGGGCCCAGAGTCCTAAGAGGACTGAATTGTTCCAGGGGACAGACCCAGGGTGTAAACTTCTCCCTACATCCAGCTGGAGCAGCCTTGCCTCAAGTGACCTTAAGTGTGGTTCCTGCCATAGTTCTGGAGCGTGCAGCTCTGGAGAGTGCAAGCTGGAAGCCTCGGTGATGTTCATGTGGTGTTAAGTCTGCAGGCTGGCAGAAGACAAGAGCAGTGGAGGAGTGGCAGCCTCCACCCAGATTTCAGAGAATGTATGGTAAAGCCTGGGGGCCCAGGCAGAGACCTTGCACAGGGGCGGAGTCATCGCAGATGGCATCTACTAAAGCAATGCAGAGCAGATATGTGGGTCGGATCCCCCACAGAGAGCCCCCACTAGGGCACTGCCTAGTAGAGTCATGGGAGAAGTGCTGCCACCAGGACTGACCCCAGAACTGTAGTGCCATTGGCAACGTGCAACACCTGCCTGGAAAAGCCACAGGTACCAGTGCAGCTCAGTGGGCTATTCCTGGCAAAGCCATGGAGGCTGGGCTATCTGAGGCTTTGGGAGCCCAAATCCCCCACTGTGCTCAGGATGCAGGACTTGGAATCAAAGGAGATTATTTTGGAGCTTTAAGATTTAATGTCTGCTCTGCTGGGTTTCAGACTTGTTTGGGGCCTATTCCTCCCTTTTAGAATGGGAATGTGTACCCAATGTCTGTTCCATCATTTTATCTTGGCAGTAGATAAATTTGTTCTTGATTTTTACAGGTTCACAGCTGGAAGTTTTGCCTTTGGTCTCAGATGAGACTTTGGACTTTGAAGTTGGTGCTAGAGCAAGCTAAGACTTTTGGGACTGTTGGGATTGGAATGATTATATTTTGTATGTGGGAGTGACATGAGTTTTGGGGGGGTAAGGGGCAGAATGATATAGTTTGGATATGTTTGCTCCCCCCCACAAACTTTGTCCCCTGTCAAAAGAACAAAAATAGAATATTTTTAGTTGAAGATCTCAACTGGTATTATTACGATTCTAGAATTGGGCAACACATTATTCCATAGAAGAATAAGTGTTCCAATGAGCCAAGCAGAGGAGGTTGTTTTTATAAACAGAGAAAGGCTGAAGAAAGCAGAAACAAAGAGCAAAAAAGCAACTGGTCATTTCAAAGTTACTTTCTTTGTAAGGTGGGGACGGAAAGACAGAACAATAGAAAAATAATACCAGGGTACTTTGGGCTATCTCTTTTGTGTAAGGATTAAAGCAGAGAGAACTTTATTATCATACCTATTGAAGATTTAAACTAGCCTCTTTGGGAAATTTGGCTGTTACCTTTCTCCTGACTTCTTGGAAGGTCAGAGCACAGCCTAAGTGACACGGAACTTAGCAGGGGTGATTCCATTTTGATTTTTAGTCTGGTCTTTTGGGACCCAGTGCAGGCACTTAGTCCAAAACGATGGCTTCCTATAATTTTTATTTAACACTCCCCAAAGCTCATGTTGAAATCTGATCCCTAAAGTGGCAGTGTTGAGAGCTGTTTGGGTCACAGGGGACATATCTCTCATGAATAGATTAATGCCCTGGGGGGGGGGGGGGGGGGGGGAGGGA